GCGAAGTTCTGACCCAGTGACGGCTTTGTGGGCATCCTGTAAAGTCAGTCCCTCAGATGTCTGACCTAAAGGTGGACTGGAAAGACCTTAGAATTCTCTTCTTTTCCAGTCACTCCGGCACGGGAGCAGCCCGGAGGTTTGCAACATGGTTAACCTGCTGTTTCGTTTTTTTGGAGGGGGGTTATGTACACGTAAGCAGAATGGTTTGGATAATCCTACTTTGGATTTCCGCTGGTCAGTGGAAAGGAGCAGTTAATGCTTAATTAGTTTGTCTTTTTAAAATTTTTTCCTTTTCTCTTTCTTAATTTTCTTGTAACTTTGTTCTTTCTTATTCCAATTTTGCGTGCATATATGTGGTACTCTGAAAAACTAATTGGAAGACAACACTATGCAATAGAACAAATACTGTCAAATTCATATTATTTTGTTTAGTGATATTGTGTCATTTGTAATTTTTTGTTTTAATACTATTTTGTACTCCTTAAAAATAAAAAATTAAGAGGAAAGAATTTAAAAATGCAGAAAAAAAAACCCCAAAAAACAACCAAATCATCAACATCTGAACTCCAGGGCTTGGACCAGATTATCTGAGCACACAAGTCTGTGGCTCACGCGGCCAGTAGGGGTGGGTTGCCTTCCTTCTCTAGAGACCTGGGGTCTCCCTCCTGGACCTCTTGGGAAGGTAAACTAGGAGGTAAGGGCACTGGGGGTGGGAGACCAGGCTCCCCCTCCAGAGCGAGGAGCAGACAGAGAAGGCCTGCTCTGCAGAGGCTAAATAATGTTTGTTAAGAGGTGAAGTTTGAACTGTGGGAAGCCCTCGTTGTACTCATCTGGATTACCTAACCTCTGTTGTGCGCACACAACTACTGTTTGTCTTGTTCAACGCTCCAAACTGACCTGTTAAGGATAATATTCCACCAGGCATGGAATTACAGGCTGGTGCATGGCAGCACTCAGGAGGCTGAGGCAGGAGGATCACTGTGACTTTGAGGCCAGCCTGGGCTACAAAGTGAGCTCAAGGGCAGCCTGAACTGCATACATAGAGATACCCTGTCTCAAAAAGGCCAAATATATATATATATATATTCCTTATATAGAACTGATTAATATCTAGAGTTCTCAGCAAGAAATTTACCATATCCCCCTTTCTTTCCTTTTTTCCCAGAACTGGGGATTGAACTCAAGCCCTTGCACTTGAGTGCCAGGGAAGCACTTACCTGGCCGGCCAAAAAAAAAGTATATGGAGATGCCAAGAAAGTTATATGATTCCCCCTCACTGACATCTTCAATATCTAAAATATATTATTATTTATTGTTGTTGTTAGGATTATGTCTTATGAAAACAGGGTCTCACTATGCAGCTCAGGCTGGCCTTGAGCTCACTTTGTAGCTCAGTGATCCTTCTGTCTCAGCCTCCTGCCTCAGCCTTCCCCAGTGCTGGGATTACAGGTGTGCACCACAGCACCCAGCTAAAACAATTAAATCATTATTTTTACTTTAATTTTGGGTGTTTCGTGTTCTAGCTTTGTTGTAGCAAAGTTTGTTCTGCTTACTGTGATTTCACCACTACTCTGACTTGTTGCTAACCTGAGCAGTTATTTTGCATCAGATTTGCCCTTTCACCTACAAAATGCCTGTATTTTCCTTGCTTAAGCCTATGAGTCATTTCTGCTCTTTAAAGTTGAGCAAGTTTCCTTTTGCTTTTATTTGCCTATGAAGGAGAAGGCCCCAGATACAGTAATGGGGGTTGAACCTAGGGTCTTCACACTGAGCTACCTCACATTGCTGGCCTTGTTTTTTTTATTTTGAGACAGAGTGTTGCTAAATCTCTAATGGCCCAGGCTGGACTCAGACTCGTGTTGGGAGTACAGGCGTGCACGTCTCTCCGGCTCAGCCAGGTTCTTGCGTCCCCCAGGCTCGTTCAGCAGCTTCCCGAGCCTGTGAGGACGGAGGGGTGTCCCAGGTGAGATGAGAGCTTCAAGGGTTTTGTCCAGTGGCTCCAGGACTGTATTCCTGCTGGACCGGGATCTGCTCCCTGAGCTACATCCCCACCCCTTTTTTCAGTTTATTTCCAGACAGATTCTCAGCCGGGGCTGGGTCTCAACTTGCAGTCCTCCCACCTGGGCCTCCAAGGGGGCAGGGATCGGACTCATGCACCCCCAAACCCCGCTCTAGCTGCATTTTTCCCTGGCACTGTGGTTTGAACCCCAGGCTCACTCATAGTCCTGTACCCATGAGAATAAACCAGGAGCTACCCCTGACCTACTGAGTCCAGACGCACAGCGTGCCCAGCACTGTATCAGCAAGCCTTGGGGCGCCAGCACTGTTCTCCTAACCGCTTACCTGATGCTCACACGAGCCTCACAGCCTGTGAAACACGCTTACCTGATGCTCACGCGAGAGCCTCACCGCCTGGGAGAACCTGCTGTACCGGACTCTTTCGGGGCTCGGCGGCCACGTGATCCGCCCACACCCCTCCGGTGGCGGAGAGGTGAGCAAGCCCAGTTTCCAGGCGCCTGAGCTGCTCCAGTTACCTGACTTCTCTTTGTTTTAGTTTCTTGATCTGTAAAGTGGAGATAAGAACCGTTTCTCGTGGGCTGGGCAAAGGTTATATGGTGTTCACTGTTAGTCTTTCACCTTCTCTGTGGTTTTAGAAAATGTCTCAAAATTTAAGTTAGAAGGAGAGGGCTAGAGATTAGCTGAGGGATAGAGGGTTTCTGAGCAAGTGCAAGGCCTTGGTTTGATCCCACCCGCAAAAGAACAAAGGGGGTGGGTGCACCATGCAGTTATGGGATGTTGGGGACCGCAAATTCAAATGGCTAATTTTGCATACTTCCCCAAGGGATAAATGCAGGTATCACCCCTTTGAGGTCTTCCCTGAACTCTTTAGGGACGGGCCATCCTATCCCACCCACTAAGACTATACTAAAACCACTAAGAGTAAAAACCACTCCAGGGCGAGATCCTTCTTGGCATAAGGTCATCTCCCATCCCAAGATTATCCTCACCTGCCGAGCCAGCACCTCTGAGTCTCCCTCCGACCCTCCCGCCAGCTCCTCCATCACTGTACCCGTGCGCAGTGGCTGGTGAGTCTGCCTGCCCATCCTGAGGCGCTGACCTCGCCGCCCGCTTCTTGCATACTAATCACTTCATTCTTGCTGGACACCTCATACAGGTGGGGAGGTCTTGGTAGGCCCCCATAAAGGCCCGATAAGAGACCTTGAAAAGACAAATAACTTTTGTATTAATGTGCAAATTAGTGTAAATGAAGGAAACTGCATACAAGGACATACCCCAAATAGAGAGCTGCTGTTATCAGTAAGGGTGGCATTTGCTGTATGGGGTGACAAGTGACCAGAAGGAACCACGGGCCCTTTCGGAGCTGATACTGTTTCTTATTCTGGGCGCTGGCTACCCGTGTACACTCTGAAAATCCATCAAGCCTTACTATCTGTTCTCT